CTGGAAACTTCAACACAGGGAAGATGCCATGGCAGGAAAGGCTGCTACCCAGAAAGGTTGTTGGAACTGTGGAAAGCAAGGACATATGAGGTGCCAGTGTAAGAAGAATATTACCAACAAGTCAGCCTCATGGAGACCAGTAGTGGTTGGTGTTGAGGGACACTCACCAACCCCCATCATGAAAGTCCCAACAGCTAGGTGTGAAATGCCAAGTACACATAGTGTCTACGTGACAGGAAAGCTGGATGGCCAAAGGTGCAACTTTGTCATAGATTCTTCGTCTCAGCAAACCCTTGTGAGCATCAAGATGTTAGATCACGAAGTAGTACCAGAAGCCATACAGAAGGTGTGACAGGACATTCTGCAAGGTTGTGGGGACCAGTGTGGGTAACTATTGAGCTCATGGGCATAAAGGACAGACACAAAGTATACTTGGCTGACATTGAAGATGAATGCATATTAGGATTGGACTACTCACTACTGAGGAAGTTTGTAATTAATTTTGATAAAATGACGTTTGGGAACAACAAAGGACAAGTTCTGGTAACTGTTAAAAGAGAGGTTGAACTAATTAGGTGTCATCAAGCTGAAGTCAAAGTGACTGAAGGAGTTGATGATGGTGAAACGGAACCAGGTATAGATATTAAATCAGAGCATGAAGCCACTGGATACACTCCAGCAAAGTTGATGTTTGGTCAGGAACTTCGGTTGCCAGTGGATCTGTTAACAGGATGCCCACCTTATGAAGAGTTGCGTGAAAATGTGCCAGAGTTTGTGAAAGTGTTATCGGAAAGGATGGATGATATTTACCATCAAGTGCATTCAAACTTGAAAACATCTGCTGATTCAATGAAGTTATCTTATGATAAGAGATCTACTGGAGTCAGCTTTGTACCAGGAGACAAAGTGTGGTTGTATAATCCCAGGAAGACGAAAGGGAAGTCTCCTAAGTTGTCTTCTCCATGGGAAGGCCATATGACATAGTGGATCGTCTCTCAGATGTGATTTTCCGGATAAAATGTGGTCGGCGAGGTAAGCCAAAAGTGGTACACACCAACAGACTTTGGTGTTATCACGGTCCAGGACATTTCAGTTGGAAAGAAGTGAACAACAGAACAAATAACGCTGCTGAAGACGTGCCACCTGAAGAAGCCACTGTCGAAGAAGAAACTCTACTCAGCTTTGAGAAGGGAAACGGTGAAGCTCTTGATGAAGTTACTACCACTGATGTGACTGTTACAGATGATAAGACATTTCCTGATGAAGCAGATGATCCCCACATGAAGCAGAAGCCAATGAGACGGAGACCAGTACGAAAGATGATACGTCCCGTAAAATTAAGAGACTTTGTTGAATTGTAATTTTGTGTTTGTAAATTCTGTACATTTAATTAAGTTATTGTTTAATGTAAGTGGCTATAGTTCGGGACGAACAGTACTAAGGAAGGGGCAGTGTTACGACAGCGGAGGTCACGTGACGCTAGTAACACGTCATGCACTTCTTAAACGTTCACTTCCCTTCCTGACTTCTTGAAAGCTTACTAGATTCGGTATTCTTGTATATAAAAGACGGTCACAAAGTGACGGCAACAATGTATAATTGAACTGAGTATTGTTGAGTCGAGCATGTGAGATGTTCGTTGTGAATTATAGCATTTGTTATAGCGCGACTGTGGAAATTAAGTGTATTGCAAAGTTGTATTCTGAAAGAATAAACCAGTTTTATTTAAGAAAGGACTTGTGTCGCTAATGTTTCGTCGGAACGAAACTTACGGAAAATTAACTAATGAACGGAGACGTAACAATAGTGTTCATTGAGTATAAAGGATCATTGTTTCTTATTGAAAAGAGTGTTTGACTTGATGATGCGGAATTGTTCATTTGTGCGACTGTCTTTGCATTGGATGAGACGTTCTTAATCATGTGGCAATATATGCAAAATGTTGCAAAGCTGAGTGAGGAGACATCAAAGAGAAAGCATTAGATAGGCAAGGAATATGACCAAGAAAAGAGTGAGTAGTTAAAAAATGAATGGGAAAGAGATTACAAGTGGCTGAATTTTGATGAGGATAAAGGTCATCAAATTATAATGCCCCCATGGCTGAAAGGGCGAGCATGTTTGGTGTGACGGAGGTTTGAACCCACGACCCTCAGATTGTGATTCGAGCACCAGAACCACCTGGCCATGCTGGGTCTCTAATCATACGAGTTCTTATCCTATTTATTTCATAGAATTGAGCAAACAAACTCATTTTACACCACTGTATGCAACATACTAGATGTCAAAACCATTTTACAGTATGATTTATTTTTTTTACTCTTTTTTTTTTTAGCAGGGTTTTATTTTTTTGACATTTTATCTCTCAATGAATCTTTGTTAGTACTATAAGTAAGAAAGGTCTAGAAGTCATAGTACAATTCATTCACTTATTGGTTGCTTTATTACAAAATAAGAAAAAATACATTGGCCCCTAAACTGCTGCCTGGCCATCCAAAACACATGTCTTGGTGGTCCAACTGGCTACCAATAAACAATAAAACAGTTAAGCACTAGCCCTGCAAAAGAAAGGACCAAGCACTGACTCGTAATGCAATAAATTAATAACAAGAGTCCAGTTTGACTGGTATCCATTAATAACAACCCTTTGCTTTCCCACATGAGCCACCCTACAATCCAATTAAAAAGTAATATCTTATCATTCAAGTTCAATGCAAAAAGTCTTCAGTAATTGCATTTTATTTCAACCTTACTCTGTTTCTTCTCTTTCATTCACTCTACAACAAATCACTGCACGTCCTGCATACTAAGGGCACAAATCTCCAGTTACTGTAAAGAACAAGTAACTATGCTAGTTAAATCTTGGGAACACTAAATATCTTTTTCTTTCAGATATCTAGATCAACAGTTTTGTCAACCTCAGTGATATATTTCTCAAAAGCTTTCAGCCAATTTCATACTTCTTTTTTCACAGTTCCTAAGCAAAAGCTTACAAACTACCAAAGAACCTTCTTCACATAGCTCTATGTTTCAATGAACTTAAAGCTCAATAACACTTAACACCAATATCTAACATTTTTACAATTACAGTAGCCAAAGGACATTCTATAATTAACTTATTGCAAAGACTACTATGATGAACTTTTAAGATAAAAGAAACTAATATTCCATATCTTCTTATTCCATTCACTTATTAAAATACAAAATTTACACTAATTCAACATGCTTAACATAATTCTAATTTAAGGCATATCAGATTATCAACACTTTCATTATGAATAATTCTTTTAAAAAAACATGGCTCTTCAAATTCAAAAGTTTGAGAAAAATATTTCAGTTTAGCATAATACTTTGAAAAATTGAAGAGAGCCGAGTCACACACTCATGATAATGTCAAAGTATTAAATCTATTTTGATTTAAGTGAACATCTCTCTTTAATTTAAAACTATCCTAGCCTCCTTCATTGGGTAAAAATCACATTCAATGTCTCTTTCTTGTATAATTTCCATTTAACTTTTAGTTTTATATAATTTATTTACTAAAACTTGCACTTGATTGAAAACTGAAATATCAAAAATGGCGTTTGATCTGCATTTGTAAATTATTAATCATGCTGTAAAGAAAGACCCTATCTCTCAAATAATACGATCAAGAAAGAAAATTATGTACATTGTAACACTAAAAGAACTCAGAAGTTAGAACGATGATGAAATAATTTATACCACTGTAAGTGTTAATGGTGTTAATACTAATAATTACAATAAATTTGGCGTGATCGCTTTAGTTTAATTAAGCCTGATAACACTATTAGTATTACTATTAATTTAATGTAAATGTAATGCCTAAACTAAAGTGCTAAACTATTAGTAGTAGTAAATGTCTGTGTAACTCATAAGTAAAACATCATACTCACGTTGTCACAGTTCTACTGTCAGTGTCACAAACTCACACAATTGCGATTTTGAGATCCCAAATTAAATAAATTTATTATCAACACCTTTTTATACTTATGGAGCCATAGACCTAAAATATCCGTGACACCTACATTTCAATATATGATGACTTACAATGGTTACACACACACTCACACACATTAATTTCTTCAATTCTTAAACCAACAATAAAACAAGTCCTTGATGGTTACAATTATCGTCCATTTTCTTCCATTAAATGACTGACCCGCCATATTAAAAAAACAAACTATTTTTAAATTTAAATATAATATTTATAAATTGTTTATACTTCACAAATTTATATTTAACAAACTATCAATTATTTCAAGCTCCATTGTACTAAAGCAACAGCAATGAGAGAAGTGTTGTATTAATATAAGTATGATATAATATCATAATATGATTGATAATAATTTATATTGCATCATGTTTTACTGTGTTGCGCCTCTGTGTTCGTTAGTTAATTTCCCGGTATAAATTCTTCCCGAGGAACTTCAGAGATACAAGTCCATTCTTAAATAAAACTAGTTTATTTTTTCTCAATTCAACTTTGCAATACACTTAATTTCCACAGTCACTTTAAACACACGCTATAATTCACAATGATTCACGCAGTTACTTACGGTCACTACCGCGCTTGACTCAATTGTCCATCTTTATCTCTGCCTGTCTGCAATTCAATTCCGATTGATTAGTCTGACGTTATCCGGTGCATTTATATATAGGAATAAGGGGCGCCTAGCACATACTGGATTATTCGTGATGTTCCCCATCCTTCTAGAATATCATGACGTGTTACCAGGGTCACGTGACTGACGCTGTCGTAACACTGCCCCTTCCTTAGTATTGTTCGTCCCGAACAATAGCCACTTACATTAAACCAATAAACAACTAACAATAGCTTAATTAAATGTACAGAATTTACAAACACAAAATTAAAATTCAGCAAAGTCTCTTAATTTTACGGGACTAATCTTCTTCTGTACTGGTCTCAGTCTCGTTGGCTTCTGCTTCATGTGGGGTTCATCTGCTTCATCAAGAAATGTCCTATCATCGGTAACAGTCACATCAGTGGTAGTAACTTCATCAAGGGCTTCACTGTTTCCCTTCTCAAAACCGAGTAGAGTTTCTTCTTTGACAGTGGCTTTTTCAGGTGATACGTCTTTAGCAGCGTCATTTGTTCCGTTGTTCATTTCGTCCCAACTGAAATGTCCTGGATCATGATAACGCCAAAGCCTGTTGGCATGCACCACTTTTGGCTTACCTCGCCGACCACATTTTATCCGGAAAGTCACGTCTGAGAGACGATCCACTATGCCATATGGGCTTTCCCATGGAGAAGACAACTTAGGAGACTTCCCTTTGGTCTTCCTGGGATTATATAACCACACTTTGTCTCCTGGTACAAAGCTGACTTCAGTAGATTTCTTATCATAAGATAACTTCACCGAATCAGCAGATGTTTTCAAGTTTGAATGCACTTGATGGTAAATATCATCCATCCTTTCCGATAACACTTTCACAAACTCTGACATATTTTCAGGCAACTCTTCATAAGGTGGGCATCCTGTTAACAGATCCACTGGCAACCGAAGTTCCAGACCAAACATCAACATTGCTGGAGTGTATCCAGTGGTTTCATGCTCTGCTGTCCTATAGGCCATCAACAGTGGAGGGGGTAAGACATCCCAGTCATCTTGGCGGCTATTACAAAACGTTGCCAATTCCTGTCCAAGTGTCCAGTTGTACTTTTCTACCATCCCATCAGACTGTGGGTGAAGTGACTTTGTCCTGGTCTTTCACATGCCAAACAACTTGCAGCATTCATGAAACACAGCTGATTCAAAGTTACGGCCTTGATCTGAATGCAGTTCGTATGGCATACCAAATCTGAAGAAGATATCACTAATATCCGAAGCTACAATTGTAGCTTCCTGATTTGGTATTGCATATGCCTCAAGCCACTTGGTGAAATAATCCATCACCACAAAAATGGACTTGTTTCCTGCACTAGTTTGGGGCAAACGACCAGCAATGTCAATGGCTACTCTTTCCATTGGTGCACCAACTTGATATAACTTCATTGGAGCACGTCCCTTATGCTTGGGTCCCCTTTTAGCACAACATTTACTGCACATCCTGCACCATTCTTCCACATCTTGCCTTATACCTATCCAGTAAAATCTATCTGTCGTAGGTGACTCCGTGTCTTCTTAACTCCGAGATGTCCTCCTGTTAAACTATCATGGGACTGACGCAGCACCAATTCACATAACTTTCTCGGTATAACCATTTGCCGGGTCGTCACTTTCCCATCTGCAGTTTCCCATCTCTGTAGAAGAATACCATCTTCAAGCTTCAACTGGTCCCATTGTGCCCAATAGTTCTTTGTCACAGGGCTTAAGTTAAACACCTTCTCCCAAGCAGGATGCAAGATACTTGTTTTTAGAAAATCAGTTATTGGCTTCAAATCTTGATCTTTCTCCTGCTCTGCTTTAATATCTATACCTGGTTCCACTTCACCATCATCAACTCCTTCAATCACTTTGACTTCAGCTTGATGACACCTGGTTAGTCCAACCACTATTTTAACACTTACTGGAATTTGGCCTTCGTTATTCCCAAACATCATTTTATCAAAATTAAAAACACAATTCCTC